GACATGCAATTCCGATTAATGGCCGCCGCCCCAACAAAGAACAACTGAGCGGCCCTCTGTCCAAGGGCATCAGCAAGTGGGCGGTCCAACTGAGCGGGCGTTAGAATTAGAACTTTCAGCGGCTGTAGCTCGCTCCTCGCTCGCTGTGGAGTCGCGAGAGTGGGACAGTCTTGCTTGGGGGCTGTACTACTTGCACAAGAAAAGGACGACCATGTACTACACGAGCGCGGGGGCTGTCTTCAAAGGTCCTATGATCAGATTATATCGTTGTTTTAGGCGTTGGGTCTATCGAACTTCAATGCCGAACAAATGGAACATCTTTATTCGCAAGCTCGCATAAAGCCATCAAATCTTCAGGTGAGGCCATTTCAGGGGCTAGCAATATTGGAGAGAACATTTCAAGATGTCTCTGCGTGGAACTGGAATTACTGTAATGGAGATGAGGGCTTAAAGGCAGAGCCCGCGTTCATTCATGTTCCCACGCCCTCCTTAGATATCGTAACCTCGCCAAGCTAGTGATCCGGTAGTGAATAAAGCAGAAAAAAAACATGGGAAAATGATTATTTAGAACCCTATGCTGAAATGAAGTAGTACATGAACAAGGTGAAGAGAAGGTGTGGTCGCACGAATTCTTTCTTGTTGGTATCAGTTGAGCAATTATAGTTGAAAGTTGGGGCAGCCAGATGGCGGCGCGGCAACCTCAAGAATACCAGAGTATGGGGCCAACAAACGGTTGGCCCCATCCTCTCGTATTCTTGAGCTGCGAAATTAGTACATCCTCCATCCTTGTCGACAAAGCTACGATATCTAAGGAGGGCGTAGGAACATCAAATGAACGCGGGCGCTGCCTTTAAGAGTGGGAGAGCACTTTGGTGTGGATGAAGCAATTTGAATGTAGAATAAGGATAATTTTATCCAGGTCACGGTAATTCTATTTCCGCGCATGGAGTCCTTCGAACGTTACTTCATGATCTTCAGTTCCGAAGTTCAGTAGTCAGCCAGCAAGAATAATAACCAAAAAAATCCAAATATTCATTTTCAGTGGTTGTAAAAGCAATAAAAGGCAAACCGAGGTTTTTAACTTCAACATAATTCATGTATCATATTTAAAGGTGGAGTGTCACATCTACTTGCCGCAAGTGGAACTTCAACAATTCTGTAAGAAGCACAACATGTCGCTGACTGCCTACGCTCCTCTAGGATCACCTGGCAGAAAGGTAGGGGTTTGTAGTGAAATTCACTTCTCAGTGCTCTCGCGGATTATCTCTGCTTCGTGTGAATCTAGCAACGATTTAGGCTGCTCGGCCAGATGGTGTTTGGCCTGAAGGAGATCCAATGACGGAACCAGTTGTCAAGGAAATTGCAGCCAAGCATGGCAAAACTCCTGCGCAGGTATCCGCTATTTACGCTCAAGAAATATTCTGCGATTGTAACTCGTGACTAATTGGGTCCAGCGAGGAATTTACAGGTAGTAACTGATCTGAATGGTCATCGAGGAAGAAAAGAGGGGGGAAGGTCGTTGAAAAGGCCCTGAAGATAACCGCGGTTTTTTCTCAGAGTTGAGCGATCAATCTGTAAATACTGAAAGAGAAACGACGAAGGGAAGGCAAGCCTCACGGCTTTCACATAAGAGCGAGTGAATCGTCCGCAACGACACGCAGCAGGCCTGCGTCAGGGCACAGCATTCGATGGGGATTTTGGTCGAGCTTTTACGACGCTCCCCCCCCCCTTTTTTCAGGGGCTGGTACGACCCCCCCCCCTCCAAAACGTCCGCAAAGCGAGAAAAATCAACTATAAAAATAAATTTTTCCCAGCCCAAATACGACCCCCCCCTTTGGCGGCCAAATACGCCCCCCCCCCATAGGGAATCCCCATCGAACGCTGTGCCCTGGCCTGCGTTCACGGGCGTGAGTCGTACCCGAGTCAAGGATCACGTTGCGGAAATCTGCCTGGTCGGTACAATCCTCAAGAGAGGGGTGTCCGCACGACACCACCCCCCCCTTCACTAACTCCTCTTCCTCCTGCTATGTATGGCACCTTTAGCAAAAAAATAGCTTTTTTTTCGCCCTTTAGGGGGCGGACAAAACCTCGTTCGGAAATAAAGCAGTACCGAGATCTAAACAAAACAGAGAACACTAGAGTATTTTCTTTTTCCGGTGAGCAGAACATTTTTGGTGTAGGTCTACTATAGCAAAAATTACTTCTTCTTGGATTGCTCAAGAGTTTGTAGCAGCAGCAACGAGGGATTCCTCTACTACACTACTTTCCATCTTACCCTAATTTCCATCTCAAAACCTCGGATAAATAAATAAATAAATAATAAATGTGTTTCAACACGATTCTTTCCGTTTGCGGGAAGTGGGACTTGTGACACGGAAGAGCTCGTCACTTTCCCCATAAAATGAGCAACGCACTCGACCCCTTCGCCCTATCAGTGACTGTGACAGCTTGGGTGACATTTATGGAAACCTCCCTTTCCTTGGTTGGACGGGCAACCAGTCATGTCTTCATACCTTCATGGAGTGATTTGAGGGTTGTACAGATTTGAGAAGAACTAAGAGATTCCCTTCCATACCGTAAAAAACAGGGAAATTCAATTTTCAATGCTCAGCTGGGCGTGCTGTAGCATGGTCTGAGCAGTCACAATTTCAGATACTTCTACGACATCTCACGCAACGCGGCATCTCAGCCATCCCGAAAAGCATCAGTCCTGACAGGTTAGTTTACAAGGTATCTTCCCTTTCGAGCATACGATTTCCACCTACAAATTGAATCCTCACCCACTCAATAGATTCCTTGCCATAAATTCTATTTGTATAGTTATTCATAAGTATGGTACAGATTTGTGCGTAAATACACGCCACTCCATATTCATCAACCCGAGTTGTTTACATCATGACGAAGCGGCACGTGGCCTGCTCACCAACGCGCGATCCGGAGTCAAATTGCGGATCGGCTCCCACCCATGCCAACCAAGCCATCTACTTTCTGGCAACGGTCTTCATTTAGCGAGATAAAAACACTGATCTATCCACCGACTGGACCGGCAATCCATTGTATAGGCCACATCTCATCCAGTGAGCCACTACGATTTCGAATAGAAGTGAAATGCGTGGCGCATCCAAAAAGAAATAATCGACGGAGATTTGATCACGACTCCCTCGAAATCCACATTTTTTTTGTTTTACCCTAGCTGGGTGGGCGTAGCAATTGACACAAGTTGTACTGGTGACAATTGCGCCTTCCCCAGTTTGGAAATCATGGTGTTCAAAGTATAGGGAACTTGTTATGTACGTGCTTATAGTGAACGTTATTCAAGGTCTCATAATCTCGAAGAAAGCATTTAAAGAGCTCTTCGCGCAAAACTGGCATTACCATAACGGATTTAAGGTCTTTTACGGTTACACTTACGAGCTACATAGTTTCAAGTACGGTACTTTCGGAATGTGCCAGTTTTACACAAGGAGTCGTTCGAACGCTCCCTCCAGATATTAGCACCGTTTTTGAATTTGCATGACTACTCCACACGAGAGCCTGTTAAAGAATCAAAATAAGGCCTCTCGTTTGTATTTTTCTTCTTCCTTTTGTGAAACTCCTCAGAGAAAATGAAGATAAAATAAAATGAACACTCAGAAAGTATACGTTCGTTCTTGTCCTCGATCTTATTCAACATGACGGTCGTAAGCCGAAAGAGGGTTGCCAGATACTGGCAATCAAACTTGTTAAAACCAAAACTATGAAGTCCAGTCTATTCCACAACGTAAAGAATTTTTCAGGGTAATTGAGAATATCTCAATTTTCAATTTCAAGCTGAGCGACGAGGAGATGGATCAGCTGAACAACGTGAAAACACGAATAAGGCTCTTTGTATT